ATTAGTTCTCGAACGAACTTCCAGGATATCCCACAAAGGGGTTACTGCTTGAGGTTCAGGGTTTGAGGGTTTGGGAAGCCTGGACAACGAGAAGCCCTCAAGTAGGGTTGGGTTTTTGTCTATGGCCTCACCTTGGGTGCACTCAGTTTAGGGTTTAGGGCTTGATTCCTGAGGAACCCAGCCATGATCCAAGAAACTGACTCATCCCAGCCAAAAATGTAAGCTTATCGACAATTACCCCTAAAGTGGAGACTTCCGCCATTCCTGGGTAATCCCACGTATATCTCTCTCGCTCCCTAAGGGCCCTAGTTTGAGACAACCCCGAATCATTTTCTGAAGCCCACTTCCCGCTGGGATCCGGGCGGAGGTGCCGATGGTGGGAGCAGTGGGGGAGCAGGGGTGCGGGTCAAGCACCTTGGTTTTGGGTTTTCGGGTTCAGGTCCACGGTTTGACCAGGTTTCGGGCGGGTGTTGACCGAGTTCTGACAGAGTTTCTTGCGCTATCCAACTGTATTTATCCGGGCTTGAGGGTTTGGGGTTAGGGTTTCGGCTTTGGGAGGGTGCTGTAGGACTCCTTTCCTGAAGATACCCTACAAAGACATGGCACAACAGCATAAAAAGGAACCCCCAGAGTCCAGGCAGCACTGCGGGGGGTTGTTTTGTGGAGGTTCCTGGTTGAGGGCTTAGGGTTTAGGGGTGTGGGGATCTAGGGTTTCCAGTGATTTCTGAAGTTCGAGAAAACAGATACCTTAAACAACGTCCACCTCAAACCAAGTCTTCGACTATCATCCACAGTTAAACCCTAAACCCTATGACCCAACTAACCTGCTAGAAGCAGATCACGACATCTTGTAAGTCTCGGCACGGTAAGGTTCCTTGCTTTAAGTGATCCTCTCATCCCTGAATTCAAAACCTTAACCGCTTACAACCCGAAACTTAGCCGCTAAACTCCACACTCCTCACCCCCGAAATTCAAACCCTCAACCCCTCATATACCCCAAACTCCACATCCTTCAACCCCAAATTCGATACCTAAACCTCACTATATACACCAAAGTCCACACCTTTCGCCCCCAAATTTAAAAGCCAAATCCCTTGTGTACCATAAACTCCACACCCTTCACAAGCAGATTCAAAACCTAAACCCCCTATGTACCCTAAACTCCACACCCGTTCCCCCCAAATTCCAAACCTATAACCCCCAAAACTCAGAACCTACACCCCTCACGTACCCTAAACTCCACACCCTTCACCTTACACACACTCCTCGCCTGCCAGGAATGGCTGCACCGGAGGGCGTGGAGGGGAGGCTCATGGCCATGCGTGTGGGCATCATAGGCACTGCCTTCAGGGAGGGGTTAGGGGTTTAGGGAGTAGAGGGGGCTCTAGGTTTTGGGGGTTTGGGGGATTTAGGTGGTGTAGGGGTGTTGGGGCTTTGGCGAGGTTTTGGGAGGTTTTTGCGGGTTGAGAGGTTCTGGGGGGTTTGGGGTGTTTCAGGCTCATGGTTTACGATGCTAGCCATGCGGGTGCAAGAGTCTATATATGTATATATATGGGGTGTCACAAAATTTTGGGTGTCTGTACGGGGGATCCCTATCATAACGATTGTAGTACTGTGGGGTCAGTATTGGGGTCCCTCTATGTCAGGAAACTACCATATAGGCTTACGAACTGAATTCACTTCATGTCACGTGCTGATTCAATTCGCTTCGCCGATTCGTTTCTTGCCCAAAACAAACAGACAGGACGTAAATGACATGAATCCGGAACTACTAAAGATACAACTTGACTTAGCCTGTGGCATTTTCCACAGGCCACACAAAAAAACAGCACAAGCTCTGTCATTGATGGTAAAGCGCAGGACTTCTGAACTATGTGTGTAATCTTTCCCCTGAACTCCAAGCCCAAACCCGAAAGGTCTAATAACCGCTGAACCGCGAAAAGTCAATCGGTTTACGGGCGTGTCTTCTTTGCACCACGTCGGTCCTCAGTTTTCAGCTGTCTTTGGTGTACTGTAGGGCCCCTGAACAACTATACTTATACAAGGAATTAGGATCCCTATGTTGGTACTTGTGTAGGCCTACATTATTTCCTGCCAGGGGCCCAGGCTCAATGCTTATCAAACGAATCCCGGACGCTTGGGCTCCATAAGATTTCACTACGATTTCTCAAACAGGTTACTCTGAAGAAGCCTAGGCATATGTTGGGATTGAAGTAGGGGGATTATGTAAAATCGTTGACCAAGCCCTCATGACGGGCCGCACCCGATGTCTGGACCCCACACCAAGCCGAAGCCCCAAAGTTGAACATGAGGGGCCTGAAAGCCCAAAACACTTGGTACCCTTAAACCCTAAAGCTTGTTTCTGGAGGCCCGGGGCATGCCAGAACCTTTGAAACAAGTGATAGCCTGATGACTCAAATAAACCAGCGTAAATCCTGGGCTCTAAGTCTATGAATGATGCCTACATGGGGTCCCCCAAAGTCCATAAACAGTACCTACATGGAGCCTTAGGGCAACCGATGGATAGTGAGCCCGGCTTAAGACTCTGGATCTCGAAGCTCAACGTTTGGAAGCCTTCAGCTTCAAACATGAAGCTGAAAAGCCAAAAATACTAAATGAGCTGGCCTGTTTTTCTGAAGCTATTATTCGCCTCCCCCTATGACCTTAAACCCTAAACCTGAGGAAACCTGCTTCTATTTGATCAGTTGCAGATAGGGGCAGGATAAGAGAAGTAAACGCAAGTGGGGCGCAACTTCCAGGTCGCGACTGGGTTTAAAATCTAATTAGGAATTTAGGGCTTAGGGTTTAGGGTATTGAGGGCTTCAGCCTAGGCCGTGTGCCATTACTTTGGGATTGGGGCTTGGAGAAGGAATTTTCATGCTGAAGGCCCTGCGTGCCCTTGCAAATCTGTATATCACCTGCAGGTGGGGTAGCGAGGGTCAGACAGGCTGTTTTGGTATCATCCGGGGAATAAACAGTCACCAGAAGCGGAGCGGATCATCTAGCATGGAGGAGTACGGAGCTTGGGTAGCTCAATAGCTCTTGTCCACATGCCCCCGAACTAAGATGGAACCTTTACAGGTCTCCTCTTGCAGGATTCATGTCGACCCTAAACCCTAAACCCTAAACCCTAATCAGGGGCAGGAGCCGCTTCCAAATATGCAGGAGGGGTCCCCAAGAAAGGCACCCACAGAGAAACTCTTACTTCGGAGTCCTCAGTATCCCTTTGAGGGTACACAGCTACGCGCAAAATCCTGCAAAAAATCTTAAGTCTGCTGGTTCTGTAGGGGAATTAGGAATAAAATTGGATGCTGGTACTGCTCCCTCCATAATCCTCTTACAATTCCCCGTGCCCATGCCTACGTTCATCCCTCATGAATATCGTGCTCCACACAGTACCATTGATACTCGAAAGCTGCAAGACCTCACGTTCTACGTTGCCACGTACCGTATACATTTGGGACTTTCAGACTTGAGTATCACGAGGTCATGCAGAGTTCGTCTTATCAACCACCCTAAACCCTAAACCCCTAAACCCTAAAACCTAAACCCTCAAAGCTAAACCCTCAACCCTGACACCCCACCCCAAACCCTGAACCCTAATCCCCCCACCCTAAATCCTAGCCCTAACCTCACCCCTGCTACCCTAAACC